TTACCCTGATTACAGGTCATTCAGGCGCTCCTCGCGGTCCCTAGAGATCAGGGAGCCCCGACCGACGGCTTGCTAGCGACCAAAGCAAAAGGTAGAAGGTTACCTCCTCACCGCCAGGAGACTCCGCGGAAAATTAAATTAAACATGCGCCCAGGGACCGAAGAAAATAGATTCCTTCCTCCCCTCTGCTAGAGCAAATCAACACTTCTCAGAGGAGTGCAGCGCATCTATCTAGAGAGCGAGCCCCAGACGATCATCCCCTTAAGGATCCCCTTAAAGCTTAAAGCGCAGCCACCAGGGTCCAGGAAAGCAAGGAATTACCCACTTTTTAAAAATCCGGGTGCAGGGAAAAAATAGGGCGCAAGCAAATTCTGAATCTTATTTTTTAAAATAACAGCAACAATTGTATATCGAACAAAGTCTTCAAAAGATGCCACCCAAAATAATAACCCTAACTTAAAAATGAGCACAGCGCAACTCTCTTGATTACTTAACACCATTGTGTTAAATACAGTGATAAAATTGATATGCTGGGCCATTTTTTAAAGAAGGGAGGGAGGGAGGGAGGAAGGAAGGAAGGAAAAGAAACCATGCTGGGGATAGAGACAGTGGTTAATAGCTAGATTTTCGTAGTGTAAGGAGAAACAATACCTATTTAGACAGAAGCAGCAAAAATCCATTAAAAAAAAAAAAGAAAGAAAGAAAAGAAAATCCACGGTTTATTCAAAATATCTGCATCAAATCAATCTCTCTTTGAGGCTATTTGTATGAAAAGCTGAGCAAACTTTAGAAATTCTTTCATTATAATATTTATCTCTATCATTTTAGGTAAGTAGAGAATAAAATTCCTTTTTTTTTCCTCTCTACAGTTCTTGACTTAATGTATCAGCAAAAAAGATCACAGGCCCTCTGAGCTAATTTTCTATAGTAAAATGTTTATTTTAAATAAATTCCTCCACAGGTCTTTTGTAGCATTCTGCCCAATACTCTTACCAAAAGATCCATGGGGGAGATGAAAATGATGGCAGGATTATCAATCTGCCCTACTTAGAAGCAGTCCAATCTCACCACCTGCTTGTCTTTTAATTTTAATTTCAGCATTCTCTACCTAAAGGAAGCCTAGTTGAAAAGTTATATCAAGATTGGGGTAAAAGAAGGATAGAAGGAAGGCAAATCCATCCAAAGACTTTTTCCAACATTTGTTAAAGGAAAGTAATTCATCCCATTTAACTTTCTAGCATTAAACACTTGGGTTGATAATCCAACCTCAACAAACCAATCGCATTAGACTGCACCTAAATGAAAGAAATTATGCAAAAAGAGAGATGGTGGGGAAGGAGCCAGAGGGGAAAAGGCAGGCTAGGGAAAAAACACTCAAGTTTGGAGAAGAGATGAGGTAGGAAGGAGACTGCAGATTGGCAGCCCTTTTCTGATCTCTGGAGGGTGAGCTGATATATGCTGGCCCTGACCTTCAGGTCAATAGCTAGTTTAACTTTACCTTGATCTGCAAAACTAGAAGTGTCCCTTGGTTCAAAGTGAGACTTAGCCTGTCTTCATTTGAGTGAGGCTCCAACCACTGCTAGGAGATGCCTGATCACAGACAAAGCAGGAAAAAAAAAATCACAATTTTGTAGTTCCAACTTTTGGTCTCCCAACAGAGGATACTCATCCCGAAAAAGGATGGACTCAGCCCTGTCCACCCTACAGAAAACTAATCTACAAATAAACTGCTCAATAACCATCGAAATAAACTAAATAAAAGCAAGTAGGATGTGAGGGAGCCAAAGGAAGAAAGTGAAAGTTTGCACATCTACTCAACAGGAAAAAAAAAAATCCGTCCCCTTTCCACCACCCCAAAGAAATCTTTTCTAGACAGTATTTCTCCTTGTCATCTCAAATAAAATGTCAATTCTACATGTAATGCAACTGATGTTATAAATGTACCAAGCAGCTTTCCTCTTACCTGCCACTACATTTAACTCCTTCAGAACCGTTCTCTCCGAAGCCCTCAGCTCTGCAACTTTCAATAAAAAAGAAACAACACTTAAACTGTGTTCTGCGTGTTATTCCTAGGAAGAAAGTAACAAAAAGAGACTGTTTTACTTTTAAAAACCATTGTTTTGAGCTATAGTATACCAAAGAATCAGAGCTAACTTGCTTATCTAAAGCTATGGGGATTGGAAGCTTCAAATACGTACGTACACAGGAGTAAAACTGTCTGCTACTTGGGCGCTAACTGAAATATTCTAAAACACATTTCTATGCCTAATTATTTTTCCCCTGAATTTAAAATATTCATAGTGCATTGCATTTGTACTTCTGTTCCTATGGATTATAATGACTTCATAGAAATGTCCATGGAAAATTGTCAGTTCAAGATCATCCCAAGATTGAATTTCAGGTGGGGAGAATGCAAACAGAAAGAAAGAAGCTAAGAATCTGAACGCACTAACTTTTTATTCAATTAGATTCAAAATAATAATATTACTCTAATAGTGAAATAGTGTTATAACATCAATCAACATTTAAAGTATTTTATGTTTAAAGTATGGCTCAAGGAACACCCATTTCTTAAATGCACTTAGACATAACAAGACAATATTTTTTTATTGGCATCATTGACACCTATGAACAACAGCCTAGTAAATAGATTAAGGTTTAACCTTCCCTTTCTTTGGTGGCTGTTTAGAGACTTTAAAAGAACAGATAACTCATTTCAACAGGAATCTACCACTGATATTTACCTCTACATAATCTTTAGCTAAGACATGGAATGCCCAAAACAAGCTTTTGTTAGCTTGACCTCCTCCACCTCCTAACAACAAAAGTTATCCCCAAACCCATGTTTTTATTTTAGATGTACTGATCTTCCAGTGTAAGGCTTGGCCTTTAAGTACTAAATTGAATCAATGGCCAACAACCACACTCCTTCTGGAGACTGAGAAGGAAGCAGAATGGGAAATTTCCTTGAATTGTTTGAGTTTGCACAAATTTTAAGAGGTCAGTAAATCCTGATGCTATGAGCTAAGTCTACTAGTAAATAATTATATTTCTTAGACACGGTAATCTTTATCCCGGTATAGAGAGGAAACACAGCTTTGCCAAATAGATCTTTCCATCTAATATCTTAAAGGTGATTACTTAAATATTACCATACAAACAGGGCTATATTTTGTTTAAATTAGACATTTAGCTGAAGATAAAATGAAAATGTCCATAGTTTTAAAAGGGAAAAGAAATACAAATTAACTGGCCTAGTCTTTTATCTGAGTTTATTAATACCATTTAAAATATTACAAATAAATCAATTACATTTCATGCATTTAAAATGCAAGTCTAAAATGTTCCAGAGAAAGGCTTTTCATTTCAATGTGAAATATCCAAATTATTTCAACATTACAATGAACAATTAGTTTGCAGAATCTGCAAACACTTAAATGTAGTATCAGGAGTGTTTATTAACAGTTAACAATATTACCTTCAGGAAATACACAAAGGCCAAAGTTAGTCGAGTTTCACTTGGACAATTTATTTAATACATGGGTTTTGGCAGACCCAGTTATTATGAAATATAGGAGAACTCTCACTTTAACTATGCCTGAACTGCCAGCAAATGCAAATAAGTACATGCTCCATTAAATTAAATGTCATCCAACATTTATCAAATATTGTCTTAGTTACAGTTTGATACCTATCTAAATTCATATTCGAGCAAAACGAGGCCCCGAAAGTGCGTTTGTGGCTCTGCACCTCCAGAAGTGAGTTCAGAAAACCTGCAGCTCATCAGAACTGCAACAATAACTCTCAATATTTTCTTGTGACAAAAAAAAGAAAAATCAAGTTTACTTCGATATATTTCCAAATATTTACTGGAAGTAATGTACAAGAAAAATACTATACAAAATCGTCTCCTGGACAACTGTACCTCACACCCTTACACTGGTGGAGTTATATTTAATTGTTAACTAATCTAGAACGATTCTCCAGTTGTACAAACCATTAGGTTCAGATATATTTTACAAAGTTTTTTTTTTTTTCTATTTTCCCTCTTTTGGCATTTAAACTACAGCCTCGTCAGAAATAAACGATAGCTTCATCAGTTGTTTATAGGTTTAAATCACAAAAAAAAAAAAAGCTTCACCCTAAAATCTTCAATGAATTCCAAGAATTTACAGAAATGGACACTACAAATTGACGGCTGGACTAACAAAAAAAGAGTGGGAGATTATGCTTGGGAGTGGTGAAAAAACGAGGTAGAAGAGGACAAACGTGGAGATAGTTAATCTGGTCTCACCGGAAAGGGGTATTTTTGCATAAGAAAAGACACCTACCCTCACCCCCACCCCCTCCCCATAAGTTAAGTTAATGCAGTCAAAATAACTTTGGGATCAATATTAGAACAGTTTGCAAAGAAAGACTTTCTCATCGCTAGAGGAAAATCTAGAATGGAAACCAAGTGGAAGGTTGCTGTTTTTTCCCCTTAGTTTTTTAAAGAGAACAAAAAAAGTTATAAAGATGAAAGAAGGCTGCTGCAGAGATTCGCCAAGACTTCCCTTTGCTGAAACTTCCACTGGTTCCACCTCAAGGAACAAAGAAAAAGAGGCAGAGCTGACGATGGGAGAACTAAACTCTGCAAACTTGGGTCTCGGGTGCAACCAGATGAACACCCCACCGAGCTCCGACGGCGTTCAGTGATGCCCAGACGCCCGGGAGGGTTCTGGAATCAAGTAGGCGGTCTCCTGCCTCGCCCTCCCCACTGCTCCTGCCCAAGCTTGCTCAGCTGAATTGTTCCAGCCCGCGAGAGGCCTGCAGTCTCCCAGGCACTGCATTCGCCCGGCTTTAAAAGTTACATCCGTCACAACCTGGGGGTGGCGGAGGGAGGACATGGGAGCGTGGATGTGAACTAAAGGCCTGGCGAGCCAGCCGCGGGTTCGAGCTGCACCAGGGCGGAATATTGTTTACCCGTGGAGAGGAAAGCCAGGGCCCAGGACAGCGAAGCGTGTTACTTACATGTCCATATCCCCTTTACTACGTTAAGTCACGCGGGTGTGGGAAGGGGGTCAGGGACAGAAAGAGAGCAAGAGAGTAGGATGTAACAGAGGCCGGAGTCGAGGCGAGGACAGACAGGGCCCAAGCGGACCGGGATGGGAGCAGGTGGGGAGGGGCGGGCGCGGGTGTGCGTCACTCCAGGCCGTTGCGGTGCCCAGGCTCTGGGGGCTGCAGCAGCTCCGGGGAGTGGCAGGGCGGGCTGCCCGCGGCGCTGTGCTCGCTGTCGGTGTCGCTGCCCTTCTTGCCGCCGCTGCCAGAGCCCGCTGAGCCGCCGCCACCGCCGCCGCTGTGCGTCTTCACGTGCTTGCTGAGGTGGTCGCTGCGCATGAAGCGCTTGTTGCAGACCGGGCAGGCGAAGCGCTTCTCGCCGGTGTGGGTCCGCAGGTGCCGCTGCAGCTCGTCCGAGCGCGTGAAGCGCTTGCCACAGAAAAGCCAGTTGCACACGAAGGGCCGCTCGCCCGTGTGCCAGCGCAGGTGCGCCTTGAGGTGCGACGTCTTGCCGTACACCTTGCCGCAGCCCGGGATGTGGCAGCTGTGCAGGCCCTTGCGCCGCAGGCTCGCCCCGGC